CGCAGCTAGGGCCTGCATAGCTCCAAATCCCATTGTTGATACAAATCACGTAGCCTCAAACTCCTGTTTTATGGTGCATTGTGAACCCTAACCCTAACCCTAACCCTAACCCTATAAACAAAAAAAAAATTATTTGTTGTTATTAAATTGTTGTAAATAAATCATGTAAATATGGATAAACATAGAAAAATACAGAAGACAGGAAAATAATGAAAAAACAGATGGGATTCGATCCAACAACATTTCAGCCGTGTCGTCTCTGCTCTAGGCGTTCAGCTATTGAGGCATTGGGATTTTGTGTTATGGATGTGCCTTGACAACACTGTGGCGTCATTGAAGGAGTTTGAGGAACGTGATTTGTATCAACCAATGGGAATTCGGAGGACCACGTCATCGAGTAAACATCGTGAGTGGCATGCGGTGGGCGTAGTCATTGATGTAATTAGGATTATGTAAGTTTTATTATAGTTTTTCGTGCGCTTTTAAATGCCAAAAATGTTCAACGATGCTACGATGACATGCTTACCAGCAAACGCTGTGTCAAGTCAGTCACTGTTGCCCACGAATTCAGATTAGACGAATTCCCAGTGAATTCCCATATGTAATTCCCTGTTTTGTATTAAATTGCCAGTAGGGGGAGCGTGCCGCTGCATATATAAACTCAAACCTTCGGTTTGCACAAGGACGGGGCGTCCGGGGGCACCACTAGTCAAGTAATAGAATTAACTAGATTATCCATGTCATAACTGGATTATCCGCATCTGCCGTGCCGGGCTAGAACTCAATAATCTCCACTGCCAAATGTCACGGTAGTGTGTACGACGCAGAATGCATGCGTGGGTCGGGGTCGTGCCTGTGGCTATAAAAGCTGGGAGCCGGGAAGGATGGGGAAGAACTGCTCCACAACCAGGCACAAACAGGCACGACCGCGACTACAGTTCTAACTATTCAAATCCGCATTAAACGTCGAGTCATTGTATAAAATCTGGCTTCCTCTTGTCTATGGTTTTGACTTAACAAACCTTTACTAACATTATAACGCAAATAACGGTTCCAACCACAATTCCACCTACACTAGTTTGCTAAACCATACTAGTAGTTGGTCAGGAAACGATACAAGTTGTTTGCAGAAACATGGTTTTCCGTGCGCAGTGTGCAACCTTTGACCTACGCACGTCGAGTGATAACGTAGCCTAGGGGGCACATGGCGGACGCCGATTCCGAACCCTCCAACGGCCACCGCTCCTATTGAGCACGCTGGCGCATTGCAGCCGCACAGGCGCACACATGCAGCCGTTAACCCCCCCCCACAACCACCACCACGACCATGCGCTATTAAGCTATGGACGGTAGAAAAGTGTACTAACTATCATATGGTATTGGTTTATTAAAGCACGAATAGTTAAATTAATTACCAAAAATATACGTGCGGTATCGCTCGTAGGCTAATATACGCACGGCTATGGACGGTAGAAAAGTGTACTAACTATCATATGGAGCGAACGAATTGAGTTACATTTCTAAAATTCTAGATACATATAAACACATGTCTTAGCTATGGTCTCTGTGAATTGTTTGAGTTTATTGAAGCACGATTAGTTTAATTAATTAATAAGT